GCGGGGGGGGGGGGGGGGGGGGGGGGGGGCAGGGAATTTGGATTTAGTATCAAGTTACATGAAATGGTAAACTGAAATGTACAGAGATAGAGACTGCAAGTTCTAGGTCTTGTTCATCATAAGACAATATTTAAAGGAAATGTGATATGAATTTTTATATATCAGTTTATTAATTTCCTCTAGTTTTTTGTGCAATCTAAAAGCAAGGCATGTATTCCTACACCTTCCACGTAAAAAATGACAGTGTCCTGAAACACAACTGGTTTCATTTTATTCATACAAATACACCCAAGGTGTTTTGATTTTTACTTTTTTCATAGAGCAATACAGATTACAATTTCCATCAATAGAAATGCTTTTTTGACATGATTTAAGTATTTTTATTTTACTACTTTATTCGTTTTGAAAGTGGCCTAATTTGGTTTAAAGTTAATTGAGGATTTGATTATAAATATAACTTTTAAAATGTTCCTTGTCTAGTTTCATAAAAATAGCGAATACAGGGCCAGTTAATTTGCTTTACAGCAAATCATACATGTAACTCTGCATTTTGAAGTTGAGCCCAATATGGATAGACTTTTGGACTGGAACTGAATCTTTTGTGTATTTAGAGTTAGCATTTCTTCTCTCTTACTGGCAGTACCCTCATTTTCTCCTCATCCATTGTTACCAATTGCTTGATATCTCAGTACAGGAGTGGATCTTTATATGCTTAAAATAACATTTACATATGATTCTACTGCATGCTCCTTAAAAAAAAACCAACCTTTTGGTGTATTATAGCAGACAAGCCTTGATTGCTACTTTGAGTCTGTATGAAATGCTGAATACAAGAATTTTGTGAAATGTGCACAGCTTATGTGTATTTTCAGGAAAAAAACCTGTATCAAGAGCTCAGTATATGTCTTTGAAATTCTTTACTTCAGAATAGTGGAAAACAAAATTACAAAGAAATGAAGGAGAATATAACAAAGTTGTTACTTTGTCCCTGAAAACATGGTGTCCTGTGCTTGCGGTGGGACACAGCAAACAAAGTGGGAGCCTTATTTGGTCAATTTTGCCAATGTTAAAACGGAAATGTCTTGCTTTCCTAAAGGCTTTGCTGTGCAGTTGTCATTATTGAGATGTGAAGTGAAAGTAAAATGCTGAATCATAAGACCATTCCTTATTTCCAAAAGAGCATATTTAAGGATTTAACAAAAATAATGTGTTGAGCACTGAGAGTTTTATTAGACATTTTTACAGAACTAAGTCCATTAATTATAGGTATTTCCTTGCTTTTTGATGTGTAAGAAGACAGATGAATCACAACTGAAATTTAGCAGTGTGTATGCATTCTTCTAGGCAACAAATTGCCTTTCTTTAATGGATATGAAAGGACACCTTGGAGTATAATTAAAGAAACTGTCTTGTGTGGTGCATAATAGGAATTGTAGAAAACTATTTATCTACAAAAGTCCTTCATAAAACTGTACAAATGCCAAGCAGTTTCTGCAGCAGATGTTAGTTATATTTATCGTTGGGAAGTGCAGTTCCTTCAGTTTTTCAGAATTTTGTATTTTATTTTAATGTGTTTTCTCCATGCATTGCTTAGGTAGACATGATACTGTGGAAGCTGTGTGCTGTAAGTATTAAGCAATGTCATGAACAGTTCAGTTCAAAACTATAATGGCTATTTGTAAGAATATCCAAATAAGTTGTTTAATTTATGAAATGTAATTTAACCTAATTAATTTTGCAGGCATGATTGGAGAATATACTTCATATTATTGAAGTGATCAGGAAAAATTACAGGAGAAACTAAGTTGAAACAGTAATCAGTAACTGTAATTCTTTTTTCCTGTGTTCAGATGCTGGTTGGCTGTTTCTTAGGTGGTGGGGTTTTTTTATTTTAAGATGAAATTAAGAAAGTAAATTGGACATTTCATTCTAGAAAATATAAATTAAGATGTTATTTTAAATATTATGCCTCATTTCTTTTATGTGCACTTCTATGATGTTTATTCCACCTTCCTATGTAGAAGATATTTGTAACTTGTTTTGTTGTTCCCGTGACAGTAGCACATGTTTAAGTGTTTTCAAATAGCTGCTAAGTGATTTCAACTGAGCCATGCTGAAATAAAGACTGCATCTATTAACCAGACTGCAAAACTCAGGCAGTGGTATTTAAGTCAATAGGTATCCTGCAAAATAACATTATTTTAGATTAAAATCGCAATAATGAAAAATTAATCATATGTAAGTCAGTTCTGGGTGCCATTTTGGAAACTTCCTGGATTAGTAAATAAAAACAATTTGCAAGTGAAAAATAAATCAGCAGATGGGAAGATGGTGGCATATCAGTGTGGCCACTGTTTCCAAAATACAGGGTGCATTTCTAAAACAGTGTACCTAATTATATATATATTTAAATAGATATCTTGCTGACACAGTTTGCTTTTAGTTTTCCATCATAAAAGGTCTTTTGATTATAACAAGTGTTTTTCATGAGTCAGATTTCTGTTACAGGCTTAAAATATTACAGGAGATGTATGGTGATAAAACCACTGTAAATTGCTTTGCAAGGGAACAGCAGCATGACCATGATTACCAACTTGTTAATTTTTATTTTGGAATGTATGCTACTTTGTATAATAATATTGGAAACTGGATATTGCAGTGGCTTCCTGTGATTTGAACCAGTATGCAAAGAGAGTCACTTTCCTTCCAGGTCAGAGTAATATTTTGGAGTTGCAGATAGGTTGTGTTGGAAGTTGTCTGTAGCCGCTGTATTTTAGACTATGCTGAGCAAACGCTCATCTGAATCTGTTGAGGACTTTGAAGGACTGGCCAAGGGAGAAACCCAATCGAACATGAAGCTTTGCCAGTTTGGTGGTAAAGTGGCTACATGCTTGGCAGTGTGTTGGTTTTGAGGAGTTCCTTGTTTTTTATATTTAAGGTTGTTTCCAAGTTTGCAGTTGGACTAGATGATCGTTGTAGGTCCCTTTGAACTGAACTATTCTATTCTAAGATGATATGTGTGAAGGTACTCATAGAGTATAAACTTCCGGTGGGTTTTCTTTTAGTTATCCAAAAGTGCAGGCAATTAATAAATTTCTCTCATATATGTAAATTGCTGACCACTGGTACCACGGGAAGTCATTGAAGATAGGTTCTAAATTCCCATTTTAAAAAATGCTAGAGCTTTTTAATGTAGACTCACTAGCAGACAATGAATCAAAAGTCCTCTCAGTCTATTTTAAGATCATATTATATTTTTAAATATTGTTGTCAGGAAACAAAAGGTGGAAAGGTTATGTAGTGTGCTGATCACAAGTGCCTTTTTTCTCTTGCATACAAAATCTTATTTTAAAGTTGTGGTACTGATGGGTGTGTGAAACTCCAGAGGAAAGTCTTTCCCACTTTCCTTTTTCCGTTGGTAGAGGAAGATGAAAAATATCTTTGAATTACAAACAGTATTGTCAGGAGTAAGTGTGAAAGGTTGATCCCTTTACATGGATTGTGGTGTATTTATCTATTTAAGAATATTTTAAGTCATTTGAGTTTTGAATCGTGGACAGTGTTTAATTTGGTTTTCTGCTAGCAGAAAAGTGGAGAGTGAGTCTCCTTGTGAGAAGAGCCAACTTAGGGATATGAGGGCTAATATCTATTACTCTGCCACTTTCTTTTCTGTTATGTCTGGATGTGATTTTGTAGATAAACAATGTCTTCTTGATGCCTTAAGTGTCT